TCCGGTCATACTGTTACCGTGCCACATTACATAATTTACGTAATTTTCGTTCTATCATGATTAAAGGCCTTAGTCGATTCGATTTTAATGCATTCTTCCTTTAAAAAGTAATATATAATTATTGTTTTATAAACATAATTAATCGGGTTCAATAGATGACATCAAGATTCTTCGATTTCTTCCTTAGTAACGATAATATTAGCTCCCAAAGAATCGAGCACCCTGAAATCACCATTAGCTCGTCTTCGGCGTATGAGGTAAATGCACAAGACACACCTTCCTTCGGTAAGAATTTGACGGTAAAAGCATTTAAAGATCGGTGTCACCCTCGAAAAGGTCGGAGTTGAAATCGAAAGCAAGTCGTGGAATGTTATATTCTTCTAACTTATAGAATTCGTGGTATCCCATATTCGGATAAAGAGAAATTACGCGTTTGTGTCCGGATTTCTTACATCTAGAACAATATTTTACGTCGAGGCCATAGTATTGACATGTTTTAGGTTCGTAGCCAATTTACACGGGCCGGAAAGCCTTGATATTTGGGAGAATATACATCACTTCTTCGAAGCTCATCCCGTATTGAACTTCGTGTTGGCCGGCAATTGGTTTTTCGTGTAAAACTTTTCGAGAGCCGAAAGGATGATGAGCGGTAATGAGAGCGAATTAATGATAACACGATGTAAATCATAATTGGTTTCAAAGAAATCCGATGCTTTCCGCCACAAAATAAGCTTAAAGGAATGATGATGAACACGACACGATTGGTAAAATCATTGTAAATAAGATTGAGGAATAACCTAAAAATTCGGTTGATCATTATCCCAACTGCTCGGAAGCGGGAGGGGGGGAATACGGCCTAGCATCCTTCCAGTCGATGGATTTCCGGACGAGGTCCATTTCATTATTCCACTTGATCTTCTCGCACTCAATAGCGGCTTGATAAAGTTGACACAAGACCAAATGTGTTGAAATATGTTGTTGTTGTCAGTGTGCCTTTGAACAGCATGTAGAATGTCGACAACTTGAGCAAGGGATCAAGGCTCGATGATTTGGTTAACCAGAATTTTGTTCATAGACATTTAAAAAACTCTTTCTTGGTAATCGTTGCAGGAATATCAATTTTTTTCATCACTTTTTTAAGATCCTTGATCGCCTCACTTAAATCTCTGTGAATCGAATAATCGAAATTCCTACAACCTTTTGAACAATTGTAACACATGCGACAACTTCTGAAAGGATGAATAGCCCTAATGCAGAGTTCTTCGCAAGTCTCACAACAGCGGAAACATGTACCAGAATTTGATTCGGAAATTTGCGTTGTCAAAAGATGTTCACCGCTTGAATTCATAGTAGGAATTAACGCGACCCAAATCGGATCTTTTATGCATTTTCTGGGTGGTCACGTTTTTAGTGAAAAATTTCTCAAGCATTCCGAAAACTTTTTAAGCAACGACTCCAAGAATTAAACTTCACCAGAGTTCTATGTGGAAATTAATTTAAAAAAAACTAGAGAATTTACCGTCAATGTGCGCATCGTTCCACGATTATATGTCATTCTGACGTCGCTAACGTTACGCACATCAGCCACAACCATAGGAAGGTTTTAAGAAAAAAAAAGGATTATGCAAGGTGGCGAAGTTTGAGGATTGAACGAATCGCGATTTTTCGTACTCCTTCTTTCATGAAAAAGGAAACTATGCATTTGAATCAATATTACCAAAAGAGGTATCCCAATTTATCTAATATACGAACTTCCCCGAATCCTCATGATTGTTTTTGGGAGTCTCTGTTACCCTTTGGAGAATTAGCAGCGTGAGATCTATAAAAATCATTAATTGTCCGATCTGCCTTCTCAATGAGACCCTGGTCATTACACAATCAATGAATTCTAGATCTCTGGAAAAAAATTTTTTTAAATGTTTTACAAGGTCAGATAACAATTTTAATTAAGTTGTACACACATACCTTAATTAATTACTCAGGTTAATGTTGTCAGGAATGATTTGCTCTTGCCAGGTTGCTCCCTGTGACGTTACGATCGCAACAGTATTTTAATTATCTGGTTTTCATTATATTCGAAATGATTTACAAACATACAGACAATTAAATGACGCCAAATTTGAAATTGAATGACATAATCGTCTAACCAAAAAACACCAAACTTCCAGAACACAGAATACGAGAGATTCTTCATCTTTAACCACGTATATGACTTTATGAGCGCCTGAAAAAAAAAATTATAAAAGGCGGTTTTAACGCTTTGGAAGTTCCAAACTTGTTGGTTTCAAGTCGCCCTTTGATTTACATCTCACCCCATAAAGAAAAAAATATTGATTTTTCCAATAAATCCAAAAAATCAATATTTAAGGCGAGATCGTAACATCTTCGAATTCCCCAAAACATAAAACAATCAACTTACATTAATTCTCTATGCCCATAAGGTCGATCAATCATAATTTCGCTTCGTTGCCTAAGGTTATATTTAAATTTCCGACTTTTCAAATGTTGGAGAGTGATTATCTCGCAAGATTGCCAGTAGAAACGCTGAACACTATCATGACCTATTTAAGTGATGATGAGCAAAAAAATCTTTCCCAGACATGTAAATGGCTATTTAGGATAGTAAGAAAATATAAATTCGGTTTTGTTGCACCCTTCTGGGAGATTGTCAATTATGGAAACGTCGACGGTGTCGACTCCGATTTGATCGCCTCCAATTACCGGGATGGTGTTTGGATCAACGATGTATTTT